TCCTGTCTATCTGCCGTCGTTCATCTACTCCTGTGAACATCAGGATCCTTTTGGTGTCTCCTGCGGGCGTTAGAACAAATTCTGGCTCAGCAACCCACTGGTCTAATTTTGAGAGCTTTCTGGAAACCAGAGGCTGGTGATGATAAGCAGGCAGATTATTTTTCTCTGCGTTTAGTGTCGTGGCTTTTCAGTGCTTGACCGCCTGCTTGCACGATTGGTCAGTGCGGCTGTCTGTTTCTTTGGGGAGCTGCCAGTCAAAGAAAAACCGAATGTATCTCTGTGGTCTGTGAGATGGAAACCAAGTGGGATTTTGCCTGATGGGGGGGGCAGATGCTGGGGGGGTTGATACTTGGTTGCGGGGGCGTAACCCGTGAGCTGCTTTGGTGCTCCTTGCTGTTGGCATTCTCCCTCCCAGACTGAGTTACGCCTGTGCCTATGGCTGTGCAATATGGCATAAAATTCATATTGCGGTATAACTTGAACCATAGACGATAGACGGTATATATTGCGGTATATAATTTGATCTGTAAATTTCATTATAACTGTTTGAAATGGTAACATATGTCCATAGCAAAGGCATTGCAGTAGGAACTTGTATAACAAACTGTTAACATGTTTCAAAGTAGTTGTGAACGTAGAATATTTATTGTGCAAATCTGCAATTATAGAAAAAATACGAAAACATTTCAAGTAACTTCCCTGGTTTTATTTTATTTTAAAAACACAGGTTAGTTTTGTAAACTGTAGGTAAGCAGGAAACAAAAGCTACAAAAGTAATACAATTAGACTGGTGTCATAACTCCATCTATATTAGAATGACCATCTCTCCCATGAAGGTCCTGCTAGGCAGAGTCCTGCACAGGTTCGGGTTCCCGACGGGTGACCCGCAAATTTTGATGAAACTGGTGAAAAATATTCTACTGTGTCGGATACGGGTTCGGGTCGGATCAGACACAGGAGAGTGCGGGTCTAAATTGCGGTTTTCAAAACATCATGTGCGAAAAAACATACCCTAGGGCTATATTTTAGTGACACACAAAAAATCCCTGCATTCAAGATGGTAAAACATAAAATCCATATCAGTTTATGCATCACGCGCATTCCCGGAAATCTCTCCCACTTTCATTTTCAAAAAACACGCGCGATCTCCTGCAGCTGTTCGAAATGGATGCTGAGGTGCTGAAAAGAAAATTAGCAAGTGGAGAGTTTAAAGTTGTGGCCAAAACCTCCACTGAAATCAAGTCCGACGTGTGGGAAGTTATCTCCGATAATGAAAACAACTCTTTTGACGTCTTGTCTTGGTGGAGAGAGCATGAGCGTTTGTTTCCCAATATCACTCATACTGCGAGATCTATTCTCACTATCCTGGCATCCAGCGCCTCAAGTGAGTGAGATTTCTCATGTGCCGGATATGTCATCCGGGAGTGAAGGAGTCAGCTGAGGCCATCGACTGTGAACGATATCCTTTTTTACACAGTAATATAAAGCACCACACCAAACACTAGTGTATGCCTTCACGTATGAATTCCAGTCGGGTGATCAAAGGAAAATGGACGTTGCACGTAGGTAGCCTATAAAACCTAATAATATGCAGGGTAGCCTAATGTACATTTTATATAGTTTTAGTTTTATTAACATTTGATTGTAAGCTGGTAAGGGTATGTATGGGTATGGCAATATCAAACATTATTTGAGTTGGAGGTAGGCTGCTATTATTATTATTAGGCTGTTATTAAACAACGTTTACATTTGGCTATGCCTTTTCAACTGATGTTGCACATGTCACTGGTTGTTTGTTGTGCCAATAAACTTTTGTCTTTAATTTAAATTTTGTCTTTAATTCTGATTTTCATTCAGGTGCAGGTCGGGTGTCGGTATTTATTTACAGCGGGTGTGGAATTTTATTTTATTTCTGTCGGATAACGGTTCGGATACGTATGACGGGTACAGGCAGGTGCAGTTTTTCAAAATCAGACCCGTGCAGGACTCTGCTGCCAGGTGCGGCAATAATCATACAAATAATTTTCATATAAATCATATTAATAATAAATTATTTATTTGGTGTGACTTGATTACGTCATTTTTGCGGGCGAAGAGCGGAAATTTCTGCGGTAGGGCGGTTTATTCAAAATCTCTCCCGTTGGCCTAATTTATATCGTATACTGTTTATACCGTTCATACTGCACAGTACTATCCTGGCCCCCCAGTGTAAAGCTATCATGGGGGGGGGGGCACAGGCTGCAGTCCCTCTGCTGTGACATCCATGTCAGTCGGCGTTCTTGGGCCACCGGAGAACCTTCCAGAGTGCAGTCCAGATTGCTTATGTCCCTCCTGCGACATGTCGCCGCACAGTCATGCCTGCAGGCTCACTGGAGAGTAGTAGGGGGAGGAAGCCTTGCAGCGGGGCCCTGTGCCACGATTGGTCAGGTCGTGTCACATGACATGGGGTGATGGACATGGGCAGTTCTCCAGACTCCCGTGACCCAGGTGCCCTTCATTTTCAAAAAAACTCACATTCTGCTAATTTAATTTTTAAAACAAGGTATGTGACGGTTGCAGTAGCTGAAGTACCATTTTGTCAGAGCTGGCTGGGTCAGCCTGGGATTGGGGAGTGTCAGTCTGGGTCTTTGGTGAGGGGTGGCTGGAGGGTAGCTGATGGATAACGGAATAAGGGCAGTGGAGCTCCTGGTCAGGTGGTTCAGCAGCTAAAGCAGATGTTACCTTGGTGCCAGCTGGCTGTTTGGGTGGCCCGATTCGATGCCTGCTCAAGCCCCACCGCCACTCCGCCCAAGATGGCACACCATGTGGCTCAGCTCATAACTTGGGGCTGGAAGGCTCCGTGGCGTCACTGGCGGCCTCTGGCGGCTCTGCATGGGGCAAGCGACCGACCCCACCCCATGAAGGATGGGTGGTCAACCAGCCCCCCCCCCACACACACACACACCCCCAGTGGCTTGTCGCATCTTGTCACCCACATGCCCAGACTGCTCCCATGTAGCCTGGAGGAACCAGTAAGCTAACAGCTCCTTATCAGTATGTGGGGAGGGGAGGGAAGAGAGACAGTGGAGAGACAGAACAAGAAAGGGGGAGTGAGGGAGCAGGACTGTGAAAGGAAAGTTGGAGCAGGGCTATGGATTAGGGAGAGAGGGGGAACAGGACTGTGGAAGGAGGGAGAGAGGGAACAGAACTGAAAAAAGAGGGGGAACATGACAGAGATCCAGCAGAGAATTACGCCCCCCCCCCCCCCCCCCCCCCCCCCCCCCTCAATAGACAGCAGTAATGGAACACCTTCTCAACCTGCTCATCACTGTTGTAATGGCCACCCACCTTGAACCCTCCCCCCGCAGAGGTAAAACTCTGTGGCGGAAGAGAAAAGGTGAGAAGGCGGGACCAGTGCATGCTGGGACATGTAGTTGTGAAAATTGGGTGGGGTGGGGCAAGCAGGAGCTTTGGCAGCAGGAGGAAAATCATTTTTTCAACCCCCTTTGGGAGGGGGGTTCTGTTTGTGATGAGAGGGAAGTGTGATGGGTGGTGGAGGGAGGGGTCACGTGTGCAGGATGACAGAGACGGAAAGGGAATGTCTTGGATTCCTGCCTGGCCTGCCCCTTCGCTACCTGCCTGGCCTGCCCCCTCGCTACCTGCCTGGCCTGCCCCCTCGCTACCTGCCTGGCCTGCCCCCTCGCTACCTGCCTGGGCTGTGCATGTGACTGAATAATCACATGACTCCTCCACAGCCAGGGAGGAGTCGCATGTCTATGGTAAAAAATCCCCCCCCCCCAGCAGCTCCCTCTTATTCTTAATTACCTCTGTGCCCATACGTGCGTGACATCCTTGTAGAATGTTCCCTGTACATCTCCCCATGCCTGTGACCTGGTGAAGTTTACATTAATGGTTTTTATACGGTGAAGTTAATGTTACCATGTTTTTTTTTTTTAGAACGTGGTGGGGGGGAGGGGGTCCTCACTGGGGGTGTGCACTCCTCCTTACTGAGGGGCTCCCAGGGTCTCGACCTCAGAAGCGTGCCTGAATTTCACTCTGCTGAGAGGAGGTGGGGCGGAGGCAGAGGGGGCGTGGCTGCCTTGCTGTAGGTAATTTCTTTGTTTTTGGCAGCCAATCAGCTAGTGGGTAGCCAGGGTGCTCCAGAGGTGTGATTGGGTGGATACCGTTGGTTAATGAATGTCGTAGGTAGAGACGTGCTTCAGAAACTCACCTTGGGCAGCCGGTCACTAGAAGCATTTCTGTCTCTGGTGAGGGAAAAGAATCTTGTTTAATTAGACACCTGCAGTGAACCTTTAAAATAAGCCGTTTGAGCAATTAAGATATTATTTTGTTGTTGTCAACTCAATGTGAACCAGGACAACTTTCCAGCTAACAGGAAGTATAGGGGTGTCCTGTGTATCCCTGTGCTGTAGCCAGAGGTGGACATTTCAGGTACGGGAAGTAAAAATCCAGACCAAGATTTTTTTTCAACCAATCAGTTGAACCTAAAAAGTCACAGGGTGCGTTTGACTTCATGCAGCCACTTACAGCGCTGGCTTAAAGCAATGCATTCTGGTCCTGACGCAATGCATCATGATTAGAATTTTTTGTCCAACTTCAGCCGGCGCTGCAAAACGTCACCATGCATCACCATGTCGCATGGTACAAAACCCTTGCGAGAGCAAGACGACTTAAGACAGATCGTGCAGCACCTCTGAGCCGGCTGCACAAACTGGAACCGCCTCTGTGACGACACAACTTTGCCCTTATTGGCTGAAGATTTTAGTCACGCGCATGACGTTTGTATCCCAGGAAGTTCCGATGCGTTATCTGCCATTTCTCCTGAAAAGCACGTAAAGCAGGATAACTGAGTGCTAAGCGATTCTTACCCAGGGGTGAGAGCGTTGTAGCAACAGGAAGGAACCGTGAGTGTTTTTGCCTCGTGCAGCATGGCCATTTTAAAGCCTGTGTGCGGGTGGGAGGTGGATGTTCATGTCTGTTATGTATGTCTGTGCCACCAGGTGCTGATATGTGCTCAAGATGAGCGGCCTGGGAGACAACTCCTTAGAGCAGCTGTGCTCTGACCGGAAACGCAAGCTCTCCACCTGCGAGACACCTGGCCTGGGGTGAGTCTTCCTACACCCCAAAGGGGGCGCTATTCTCTCAGAGATTGACCTTATTTGCTCAACAGTGTTTTGATGACTGTTGAATGTGAGAGAGTTTAACCACGGTGGTGCAGTGGCTGGATGGGAAGTACTGGGTGTTCTCAATATGCGTACTTGACCATACTTGTGTTCTTGTGTATCTGTTTCACGTCACCTTCCATTGCCAAAGACCAGTTCCAGAGAACGGATGAAATCCCCTTATGGGGTTCTTGCCACGCCCCAAATATCAAGGATGCATCGGTTGCATCCTCCTCAAATGAGACCAATCCTATGATTCATAATGTCTCGGGCTGCGGTTAGTCGATGTAGTTGTTCACATTGAAGCTGGAAATGCGTTGACATCAATATTTTAAATCAACATGTCGTTTTTTGAAATTGTAATAAAATTACGTTTTTGATTTCTAAAATGTTTCAATTCATTATGATAAAAGTTTTCCTTCAACATCACTGTAATCATGGGAGTAGTTCAGATTATCACTAAACAGAAAGTTGGTTTGTACACTGCAAAGTTTCGATAGCGAACCACGGCGGCACTACTGCTATGCAGGAGCACCTGAAGGGAAAACACACAGGAGCTATTCTGGGTGATGGACGGCCAGAATAGGCAAAACCCACCCTAATTGTTGTCTATTTATGTTTATTAAATTACCATCAATACAGAGAGCTTCTTAGTATGTTTTGTCCTTGCAGTTGTTAAATACTCTCATTACTAAAGCCATGAAGTTGTCAGCTTCCTGCCTTAGAATCTCCATTAAATAAATGTTTAAGAAAATGTTTAGGCTAAAATTTGGGCTTATTCTTCTTTGACTGACATGTGTGTGTACGTGCGCACTGGGCTTGTTGGGGCCAGTGTTGTCATAAACTAAAACTGAAATGAATACAGATAATAAATTAAAAAACATAAATCGTGAACTGAAATAAAAATGAAAACTATATTTACTGAAAAACCCACCAACGTCTCTTAACCTTGTTTATCCACGACTTCGCCTCTAAAAGATGTTGTGGTTCCTGAGCTGTTTCTTTCCTGACGTCAGTGCTTATCGCTTCCATGATTTACCAGAACAGTCACGTGTCACGTGCTCTGATAACTGAATTTAATAAACTTAAGGATACACTGAATTAATACAGATTACTAAGTTTTGGGTATCACAATATGCCTCTCATTAATCTAAAGCCCTGCAATGACAGAGTTTGTTCTTGCAAAAATGAAATCCACTTAAATGAAGTATTCAATTTTATTTTCAGGAAGAAAACTAATTGTTTGGATTAAGCAACGAATCTGTAAAATAGTCTAGATTAATTTTGATAGAAAAATAGTCGTTATTGACAGCCCTAATTGTGTCACAAGTTTGGAACACAGGTTAGCAAGAGCTGTCTTGTCAAGACCGCATGTGTCCTCACATCTCCATGGGTCAGGGTTCAAATCTTGCCACTGCTCTCCAAATTTAGTTTGTGACCCTGTGCTGGATAAGTGGTATGGACGGATGGATGGACGGATGGATGGACGGATGGATGGATGGATGGATGGATGGACGGACCTTTGTTTTTAAGAAAAACCTTTAACCACTTGAATGAAAGTGTTGAGGCCTTTTTAAGCAGAATTCTTCCAGAACTCCCAGAACTCTTTCATAACTGGGATGGTCTTTAATTAGCGCATAAGCCCTCACATGAACCCCCCCCCCCTCGCCGCATGCAGATGCGACAAGCGCCGGAGGGAGCAGGAGAGCAAGTACATCGAGGAACTGGCCGAGCTGATCTCAGCCAACCTCGGTGACATCGACAGCTTCAACGTGAAACCGGACAAGTGCGCCATCCTCCGGGAAACGGTGCGGCAGATCCGGCAGATCAAAGAACAAGGTGGGGCCTCTCTGCACCCCAGCAACATCTTGTTGGTCTGCAGGTTGGGACTCCAGCTCGTGTGAAGATCAGGCGCCGAGCTGAATCAGTGACCTAGGGAGAATGCCTGTGACCTGCTAAATGATCCGAGTTCATGTTTAAAGTCATAAGTCTTGTCTCGGTGGCGATTTCCGTACTCTGTATAGGAGCTTCAAAACAAAAAGGGTGTATCTTTAAAGGCTTGTCTTGTACAGTGATTTAACCATGATGAAATCTTAGGTACTGCAAAGGCTGAATGACCTGAAATGCTTCTGCGAAAGGAAGAAATGTTTGTTTTATTTGTCTGAAGTGTACTTGGCCACAGTGTTCCTCCTCTGCTGAATATCGATAAGAGCTGCCTGTCTCACCTCAGTGCTGGTTTGTGTCTGTGCTTAAGAAAAGTCTGATAAGCTCATTTGGGGAAAAAAATACCTCTTTCACATAAAGTACAAATAATGTTTTTCTTAGAAGTAAATAGAATTTGCAGATCTTTATATTTTTTCCATTTGTCCTTTAATGAGTGAGCATTTTTTAATACAAGAACCACATTTTGCACTTGTGATTTTTATCTATTTATTATTCGTTCCCAATTCTGAAACTTGTTTATGCAACTGGTGCTGGATCAGCTGGTGACACCAGCCAGGAAGTGATGTCACTTCTCAGAACATTCACCTTCTCAACAGGAAGTGGGTGGGGCCACACCTAGCTTTGACATTCTCTTTCGGGAAGTGAAAATTGAAACCGCTCTCTTGCCCTTATATTCACATTGAAACATTTGAAAAAACACATGTCATTCCGGCCAATTATTTGTTTCCACTTGCGGTTCCCTTTGTCAGAAACAAATGACAGCACTACATGTCATCCTGTAAGTGTGCTGTCTGTCCTCCTCAGCAAGGTGCTAGAAGAGCCCCCCCCCTCCTCCTCAAGCACTGCTGTTCTGCAGGGGTCAATGTCCTGTGCCTATTTTGATCACTGCACAGCTCTCTGCATTACTGAGTTACGTGATGCTGCCTCCTGGTGGCCATGAGCCTCAGTACACCTTGCTTTTGTTCCCGTCGAACCTATAGAATGAAACGCTTTGGAAGTTACTAAAATAGGCATTTTGGCCAAAGAGGCAGGAATAGTGCAATAATAGTAATACTCTTACTATTACAACGAGGTGACGAATGGTGAATATCTGAGAACTGAGGGGACGATACAGGTACCAAGCTATGACCGGTGTTTCAGACACAGTTTGGGCACTGTGCATATGGTGACTCGTTCCTCACCCACTCCCAGGAAAAACCTGCTCTAGCGATGATGACGTCCAGAAGGCCGACGTCTCTTCCACAGGCCAGGGAGTCATCGACAAGGACCACCTGGGGCCGCTTCTGCTGCAGGTGAGTGTGATAGTCGCACCATCAAGTCACGGCACTGCACGGAGTGAAGGGAGTGTAAGCTGTAGGATGTCACCAAGCACAGTGTGGCACCAGCTGCCCAATCATTACCTCATCAGCAGGGGTTCAGTGGGTTAGGTTATTGTGATCAGAGGGTCACCAATTCAAATCCCTTGGGTTGAAAAGTCATGTCACCTTTGGACCCTTGAGCAAGGTCCTTAAACAAGGCTCTTAACTCCCAATTGCTCCAAGGACAGGCCTAACCTGCACTTTCCGTGGTACGTCACTTTGTGTAAGGGTCTGCCAGGCAAGTAAAAAGAAAGCTGCAGAATTGCTGGAATTGTACCATAAGTAGATGCACTGGCAGTGATTTCTGGGGGAAAAACTCTTGTTAATTGTGCAGGTATCGTACCTGCTCTCTACTAATTTGGCTGCCCTGAATGAACTGTGCATGCAAATAGTTAAATTTAGATTTTTCTTTGTAGATGTCAAGATGTAAGCTTCGCTCAGCTTTTAATACAGCTAGCTACCTTGGTGCTGTGGTGCTAAGTAGTTGCCTTTACGTTTGGACAATCGTGTCTGCTAAACAAATTGACACACAAATGAAGGAGATGGTACATGACAAGCATACAGCTGTCAAGGAGCCAACTTTTGCTAGGCTGAGCTTGAGTGCAAGATGGATATGGGTACAGGAGCTGCACAAAACACCATTTGAACTTGATATATGAAAAGCTATTCACGTAACACCAAGCACAGAATACAGTTGTGTACCCACTAATTAAGGAACCTGCTGCATTATTACAGGAAAGTCTGCTTAGGCAGACTAGCACTGGCTGTGATGTGGGCCGGCCCATGTTTGGTCTGACTGTGGCGCCCCCTGTCTTTCTGTCTTCCATGCAGGCTTTGGATGGCTTTCTTTTCGTGGTCAACCGGGAGGGGAGTGTGGTGTTTGTGTCAGACAATGTGACTCAGTACCTGCAGTTCAAGCAGGAGGAGCTGATTGGCACTACCGTCTACAACATCCTCCACCAGGACGACCGTGAGGAATTCCACAAGAACCTGCCCAAGTCCAATGGTAGGTGTCCTTTGCAGTATGACTTGGTGACCTTTAACCTTTCACATTTTGGAACCCTAATAAGACAGCTGTGCTCACTTACCCAATATGGGCAGTCTGACTACTTGAACTGCTCGAAGATCGCTTTGGAACAAATGCAACTGTCCACACAAAATTGAAATTGTTTACAATGGGCGTTGGCCTTTTCCAAGGATGATCCTAGTCTCTTCTCCTGTTTATGATTTTAATCGGCAGTCTGGTGTTGGGGCTAGAAATGAAATCCTGATTTTTTTCAGGTATTATGCTTTTGGCCTCATCTGACCCGGACCTCCAGATGTTCTTGAGTGATTTGGTGCTGAGTGAAAATGAGGCCACGGTGCTCTCACAGAAAAGTGGACTGCTCCTTTGATCCAGATCACCCTGGGATCATGTTTATGAACGTTAGATTGACAGGCAGATTGATTGAGTGACTGAAGGGATCAATGATGGTGGGGTCAGCCAAGGCTTGTGGTTTATCTCTGTCCCTCTCACAAATGGTCATGAGCTGTGGCTAATGACAGAAAGAACAAGGTAGCATGTACAGGTGGCTGAAATAAGGTGTCTCCGCAGGGTTGCTGGGCTCACTCTCCGTGACGGGGTGAGATATCTGGCAGGACCTCGAAATTGAGCTAATGCTAATGCTTTTTCATGTCAGAAGGAGTCAGCTGTGGTGATTTCCAGCATCTTCCCACCTGATTGGCCCCCAGGGCAGCTGTACACACTGTAGGGATAACATCTCCCAGGTCTCCTGAGAACATCTGGGGAACACCCATAATAAATTAGTGTCTGGTGTGACCTGCTCAGCCTGCTGCTGCAGTCAGCCCATAGCAATCAGGAGAAGCGGCAAGAAGATGAGGTCACAGCTGTCAAATTTCTACCAAAAAACTTAAAACTTTGGTGGACTTCTTCACCTTATTTTCCCCCCGTGGTCACATTTCAGAATTGAAAAAATTCTAAACTGTGCCATTGCTGAAAACATTGCTGTGTGTGATCTTTATTGACCAAATGACTTGGCATTTAAACCAATCGTAGCATGCCACATCAGATAAGGTCGCTTTAAGGGCAGACTGTGCTCATGATTACTTCCTGTGCTGGGCGCCATCTGGCTGTTACTGTCACACAAAACATGGTGGGGGAAACACAGTGAAAAACACGACAGCAGGGCGAGCTTATGATAACCTTGAGCAAAGCCTTCATTCCAGGAAGATATAGAAATATAGATTAAAAACATTTTACAAGTATCATAGATGCAGAAAACATAATTGTCAGCTGACTGACATAATGGTGGTGGGGGAGGGGGGGGCTGGTTGTAGGTGTGATGGGAGCTTGCTGCTCCTTAATTACACAAAGGGGGGGGAGGATGTCAGACTCCCTGGGATAAGCATGGTGTTCCTGTCAGACGCCAGACAGGCTGTCGCAAAGATTTTCAGCGATGGGGTGTGTCAGAGATTCTGCCTTTTCTGCAGCCGTAGGAGGACTAATGGCCTGCCGTGTGTGTGTGTGTGTGTGTGTGTGTGTGTGTGTGTGTGTGTCCACATATACACATGACTTCACGCTCCCCTGACAGCGAACGGCGTGTCCTGGGCAGGTGAAGCCCCCCGGCAGAAAAGCCACACCTTCAACTGCCGCATGCTGGTGAAATACAGTCACGGCCCCCCCGAGCAGGGCCCAGAGAGTCCCCCCCGGTATGAGACCATGCAGTGCTTTGCCCTCAGTCAGCCCCGTGCCATGATGGAGGAGGGGGAAGGTAAGGGCACCCAACTCGGGGGAGGTGTTTATGTCTGGTGTCACGGGAGCTGTGGGATCTGACCTGTTCTGCATTTGCTGCCTGCAGACCTGCAGTCCTGCATGATCTGCGTGGCGCGCCGCATCACTGCGGTGGAGCGTTCAGACACCTTCGAGACCCGGCATGAACTTTCAGGTATAAGTTGCCAGCCACTGCCACCGCTCCCCAGACCTCTGGCGCCCCCTAGAGACTTTGACTTTCTTCTACTTCTGTCATGCAGGCAATCTGGTCCATATTTCCCCTGGCACTCTGCGGACCTCGATGCGACCCGGCTGGGACGACGTTCTGCGCCAGTGCCTCCAGCTGTTCCTGTACCACAGCGAAGGCCAGCCATGGTCCAACAAGCGCCACTATCATGAAGGTAGCTGTGCCCCACCCAGCGCTGGCCCTCAGCGGCCTCTGCACTGCTCGTTCGCTCAGCTGCTGCTTCGCCGTGACTCTTTGGCTTAGCAAACTTAACACAGCAGGTTCTGATTCCAGGAGAACTGTAATTGTAAAGGTGTTTCATATGTAACTTCATCATTCATCTTCAATCCTCCTGTCCTGAGTAGTATTACCATGGACCTGGAGTTTATTTCAAGTAGAGTTTTACCATGGACCTGGAGTTTATTTCATCACAGGACACGAGTACCATTGAAAATACAAAAATGCCAGTTAGCTTAATTGCCGCTTAGGTTTGCATTGGGTTCTCCCACAATCTAGAAACATGTAAAACACGCAAACTCCTTCATCTATTATTCTACATTGCACACTGAAGCTAATTGCAATGAATTTCTTTCCAATTTATTTTTGTTGATGTCTCATTCTCAGTTGTGTTGAGTTGCCAGCATGCGTTTCACTTGTGTCCTCAGCATACATGCAAGGTCAGGCAGAGACCCCAACGTATCGCTTCACCTTGGCTGATGGTACCATGGTAGCAGCGCGAACCAAGAGTGTTTTATGTCGCAATCAGATGACCAGTGAGCCACAAGGCTTCATCTCTACCCACATGCTGCACCGGTAGGTTGTGGGTTCCCCCAGTCCAGTCCAATGCAAAAAGTATCTACCATGATTCTATGAATCAGAACCCAGCAGTCATTCACATTATGTGTTTCTGTAACAGTAGGCAGAATAAGTTCTGAGGCCGTATCATTGGGGGTTGCCAGCCTATTCTTTGAGACATCAAACGGATCTCCACCAATATTGTTACTAAAAAGTAACATCAGTCCACTCCGAACCATTGGCTGATAGGTATTCCAAACGTGATGATGAAGGAAAATGAGGAGGCTCATCGGCGCTAATGTTTTCTTCTCTGTCACAGGGAGCAGAATGGCTACCGCTCTGGACAGACTGCCATGAGGCCACAGGGCATGGGAAATGCCAACACAGAGACCCAGGTGAACATGCCCCCTGTAGCCGGCCCTGGCATGAGTATGAACCGGGGCTACGGCATGAACGAGGGCCAGATGGGCGGAGTCATGTACGGCAGTGGTGGAAACCGGATGATGCAGATGAATCAGATGAATCAAATGTCGCAGATGAATCAGATGCCCCAGATGAATCAAATGAACCAGATGAATCAAATGAATCAGATGAACTCAATGAGTCAGATGAATCACATGAATCACATGAGCCAGATGAACTCAATGAATCCCATGAACACCATGAACCAGATGAACTCGGTGAACCCCGCCAGTCAGATGAATCTGATGAATCAGATGACTCCGATGAGTAAGATGAACCAAGCCGGCATGTCGCAGCATCAGCTGCCCCCCTTTCCAGGTGGGGGGTATGGCTTAGGCATGAACAGCCCCTCCCAAAGCAGCCCTAGTATGAGTGCTCCCCAGCCCAGCCTGATGATGTCCCCAAGAATGCGTGGAAGCCCCAAAACTGGAGCCAGCCAGTTCTCGCCAGGAGGTACGTCAGCCGAGCTGATATACCAGCTTTTAACCTGTGGTGTCTGGTGTCTAGTTCTGCTTGGTGAGATGGACGTAGAGCTAGATAAACATGATTCACATAATAATACGTATGAAAATCCCCCCCTCCCCCCCCATTCTCCCTCTGTTTAGTGCTCCGTAAAGGTGACGTTCATCAGCATACAACTAATAAAAACGTTTTTCAGAAATGTTACAGCCATAGGACGGCTACTGCCAGTGGTAATCACTGGCGATATCAGCAATGAGAAATAGACAAGCATGTTTATGTTGCTATGGTAGCAGTTTTTCCAAATTTAACCTGCCAAAGGACTGTGATGATAGATGGTACAAGTGAGAGCAATTTTCCCAAGTAGTGCAGGATTTTGTCTCACTCGTGAACATGTATGTGGGCGGGCATGCATGTGGGCACCCGCGTGTGCACTGAGACACGCGCGTGCACTGAGACACGTGTGTGCCCGCTTAGGTCTACACTCCCCCTTAGGCCCGGGCAGCACTGGTGGTTCGGGTGGCTTCTCCAGCAGCTCCCTCAACGCCCTCCAGGCCATCAGCGAGGGGGTGGGCAGCTCGTCACTGACCCCACCCACCCACAGGCACGATGGTTCACCTGGCACCAGCGCCTCCCCTCCGCAGCAGAGCCGGGCTTCCAGGAGCCCCGAACCACACCCCAGTGCCCCAACGCCCCCCCCTGGGCCCGACGGCCAGGCGGCCCAGCACCGGGAGGCCAGTGAGGCAGCACCAGCCGGTGCTGAAGCTCCAGCCAGGCGGCTGCCGGACAGCAAGGGCCATCGAAAACTGTTGCAGCTCCTCACCTCCCCTACTGAGGATCTCAGCATGACAGGAGCTGCAAGCCCCCCCTCTGCCTCAGTGTCCTCCTCCTCTTCAGCTGGGGCTGGGCCGCCGGGTCAAGGTGGCACCTCCTCTTCCTCCTCTGCCGCCACCACTGGCCCTTCTGCCCACTTTAACCACCCCCTGCAGGAGAAGCATAAAATTCTCCACAAGCTGCTCCAAAATGGGAACACCCCAGATGAGGTGGCCAGGATCACCGCTGAGGCCACGGGAAAGGCCATGGGTGCGCAGGAGCCGGGGGGAGCAGAGTCGGGGCAGGGAGGCGTGGGTGGGGTGGGAGGTGTGAAACAGCAGGAGCAGCACAGCCCTAAGAAGGAGAAGCCCCATGTGCTGCTGCACTACCTCCTCAAGGACGACTCCAAAAAGATCGAGCCCAAGCCCAAGATGGAGGAGCTGGAGAACAAGGCCGGCCCGGAGGGCCCGGAGGGCAAGATCAAGGCTGAACCTCCTGATGAGGTAACGCAGAACCGCTCCCCCCGCCGGCTGACACGTGACCCCCCCAGTCACCCCCATGTTTTGTGACTGATGTGGTGTCCCCCGTATGACCCTCCAGTTGGAGTCCATCCTGGGCGGCCTTGGAGGGTCCGGCTCTGGCTTCTTCCCAGAGACCTCTGGAGGGGGCAGTGAAGGAGGGGGCAAGCAGGCCAGCTGCACAGACAACAGCCACGGTAAGTTGGGTTTAGGAGGTGAATGTAGGAGGTGAACAGCAGTGCTGCATGTCGCAGCTGAAAATGAGCCTTTTTAATTAACCCTGAGTTGCTAGTGGTAAAGACCACTGTCACAAGACCTGAAGGTTACTGATTTAATTTCCGTAGCGTCTTGGATTCTGCTGCTGTATCGGTGGTGGAAAGCCTGCGTCTTATTGGATGATTGTGTGCCCAAGCAAATTGAGCGTAATTAAGAATGCTGACATACTTTGAGGGCAGCTTTGGTCCTGAGGCTGGCTCTTCTCTGCTTCCAGATGCCAGGAGTCCGAGTATGGTCTCAGGGTCTCGAGCTCCATTCCAGAGAGCCCTGTCTATGGATGCAAAGCCCGCCACAGGCGCAGGTCTGCCGGGTCGCCGTAGCGCCCCCTGTCCCGTACCCATCAAGCAGGAGAGTGCAGATGGTGTGGGCTCGATGGGCGGGGCTGATGGTTTCCCCGGCAACGCAGGTAGGTGTCTCCGGCTGATGACGATAGGGGCACCATGTCTAATATCCCTCAAAAGGTTCCATGACGTATTGCTGGGTCTAGCTTTAGTGTTCTTGTCCCGGGACTCTGGATCTTAGTATTTGTCCTAAATAAGAAACAACTGCACAGATGCTGCAGCTTAGAACATTCTGGAACCTTTAAACTCCCAAAGTGTCAGCAGGCTACATTTCCCATAGCTGCTGTGGTCAGGCAGTAGGTGATCCCTGAGACTGGTCTTATTTCTCCGTACAGGATTGATGAGCAGGGGGATGGGGGGTCCCCAGCGATCACCCATGGGGTCCTCAGTGGACTGGGGCATGCCGCCATCTAGTGGCAGTCCAGTGGGTTCTGCTGGTCACCCATCCATGCAACGACCTGGCATGGATTACACCCCCAAGGGCATGATGGGAGGAGGGCCCCTGGTCGGACGGTCCAACAGTGTTCCTGCCACCCGCTCAATGCTGCAGCAGCAGCTGATGGACATTGGTATGTGGTCTGTGTGTGTGTGTGTGTGTGTGTGTGTGTGTGTGTGTGTGTGTGTGTGTGTG